ACTCAGATGGAAGACCCCAATGGCAAGGCATCCCCTGATGGGAACAAAAACTAGCCCCTCGCGCACTAAGGATTGCCCTGAACCAGCAAGTCCCCACCCATGACTGACTCCAGGACAAGGATCTATTTGACTTTCACTGCCTACCTGCATGTACCCATCCACCTTGGCCCCACATTTTCCTTTTTTTTTATTTTTAAGATTTTATTAATTTTTTTGACAGAGAGAGACACAACGAAAGAGTGAACACAAGCAGGGGGAGTGGGAGTGGGAGAGGGAGAAGCTGGCTTCAATCCCAGGACCCCTGGATCATGACCTGAGCCGAAGGCTGATGCTTAACGACTGAGCCACCCAGAGGCCCCACACTTCAGGGTTTAAAGAGGGAAAACGTGGGGGGCGCCTGGGTGGCTCAGTCGTTGAGTGCCTGCCTTCGGCTCGGGTCGTGATCCCAGGGTCCTGGGATCGAGCCCACATCGGGCTCCCTGCCGATGCACTCAACAACTTCCAGGGGACTCCTCTGTCTCTGCACCACCCTGGCCCTCCCACCCGGCACCAGGCCCCCCGGCAGGCCCCTTCCTGGCATAATCTCCGAGATGAGACCATGATCCCGCGTCTCCCGAGGATGGGACGTTTTGTCCGCCGGTTCCCACACGCCTGACCTAACGACCCTGTTCCTTCTGGTGGAGGCCCTTAAAGGGCCTCGACTTCAGGCCTTCGGGTGTAGAGGGAGGCCAGCACTGACCCGGATGTTCTGGGTGAGGCCCCGCCCAGAGGGCGGAAATCCCTCTCTTCCGGGAGAGGCCCCGCCCCACGTGGCTCCCAGTCCTTCCCGGCCAAGGGGAGGCCGGAAGTGGCCCCGCGCCCCCGCCCCGCCCCCCGCCCCGCCCAGCTGGCTTCTGCCCAGAGAGCGGTCCGGAAAGACATTCCAGAGCAGTGGTGAGAGGCACGGAACGTCGACTCTCTGGGGACCAGCAGTCAACTCTTACAGAAAGATTAGAAACTGAATCACTTGGAGGCTGGCGTCCCACGGTGAGAATTTCCTCCGGTGTACTGGGTGGGATCGGAGGAAGCGACTGACCTGAGTGGGCGTACGCGACAACCTTCTCACTACTAAGGGGAGACCAGCCAGAGTTCCAGTCAGCCGTCAGGGTGTTCAGGGACGTCCCTCCCCTGCGGCCTGCCAGGAGTACGGTCTCCTGCCTGACAGGCTCCTGCACACCTCCTGCCAGCTCACAGCCCCCACAGCTGCTGTCCGCCTGGCTTTGTGAAGGCTCCTGCACGCGCCAAAGTCTAGTTTTCCACCTAACACCCAAATAGTCTTTCAGTGTCTTCTCTGAGCATATCCCGCTCTCATAATGGGAGAATTTACAGTTTGTCAATAGCCTAATACTATAAAGTGGGGCTGGATGTTTGTATTTCTGAATTCTGCCCTCCGGACATGTAAGAATGCACCCTAAACTTAAACATGCAGGGTGTCTTTGGTCATGACATGTGCAGGACACAAAAGAACCTCAGGAAAAATAATGAGCCTTCCAGTATTTAGAAACAATTACTCCATACAGAAAAGTGATGATCAACCTATATAAAATCCAGGACAACTCCAACATGTCTACTAAAAAAACAATACTCTTGAACACTACATCTAAAACTAATGATGTGGTATATGTTGGCTAATTGAATTTACTTTTAAGATTTTATTTGAGAGAGAGTGAGAGAGAGAGAGAGCACATGAGAGGGGGGAGGGTCAGAGGGAGAAGCAGACTCCCCGACGAGCAGGGAGCCCGATGCGGGACTCGATCCTGGGACTCCAGGATCATGACCTGAGCCGAAGGCAGTCGCTGAACCAACTGAGCCACCCAGGCGCCCCTGGCAAATTGAATTTAAATTAAATAAATAAAAAACAATACTCAGTAAATTTGAAGATCAGATTATCTCCACAGCATCCCATCTAACAGAAAGGGGCTCAAAGGGGCAGAAAGGTTTTAAAGGCAGGACAAGGACACTGTGAAAAGAAAAAAGGATTATTTGGGCAAAGTCACCTCCTTTTGGGGGACAATGGGGACTTATTAGGAGGATTACATCACCACCGTAAGCAGGAAACTTCAGGCTGACTGATGAAAAGTAAAAACTACAATCAGGTTAGCTATTAAGCTTGGGTCTGGTGATGTAGTGGTAGCAAAGTGACTCCATTCGGAGCCTGTGGTTTTCTTTTAAAATGTCTTTGTTGTTTTAGTGTCTTATTTGTAAGTGAAAAGGAAAATCACTGTAACTTACATATAAATAAGTGGCAAATGAGGTTAATGGAAAAGCAATACAAAAGATTTGCAATTGGCAAATAAGACATTAAAAATGCTCAAAATGAATCTTTCAGGAAATGCAATTAAAACTACACTGAGATTGTACTACACACTTACTACATGGGCTGAAATTAAAGATGGCCACATCAAGTACTGGCAGGGATGTGGGAGAAGTGGACTTTTCATCCACTGCTGATGCGAATGCAAAAGCAAAAAACAATCATTGTGATCGCAGCACAGCAGTTTATTCAAAAGTTAATATTCATGTACCCTGTGACTCAGGTACTAAACATTAAGTTACTGACAAAAAGAAAAACAGCATACATCTATATAAAAGTACTGACAAATGTTTGTGACTGCTTTATTTTCAATAGGCAAAATCTAGAAATAACCTAAAAGCCCATAAAAAAGATGAATAAAGAAACAGTGACATTTGCAAACATAAGGGTGTTATCTAGACAGAAAAGTGAGCTACTTGTATAACATCACTGAAGAAGTCAAAGTAATTATGAAACACAAAGGAAATTAAAAAAAAACAGTAAACAGTTTGACTCCAAACATATAAATTAAAAATGTGATGGCTTCTATTGTAAAACAAAGTACAATGGTTACCTGGAGAGGTGGGCAGGGTAAGGAGAGATTATAATAGGGCAGGAGGTAATATATACCATGACATATACGGTCATCAGGGTTATGATGGTGTTAGAGATTCATATCCCTGTCAAAACTTATCAAATTATACATTCTTAAATATATGCAGTTTATTAACATCTATAAATTAAACTTTTATAAAGTTTTAAAAATTGGCTCAAAATAAAAATAGGTTTGGCAACCCTATACTGACAGTACCACCTTGTTCCCATGTCCTCTGGGCATCAGTCTTGCCTCAGTGTCTGCAACTACAGGGAGCAATGAAGGACGTTTCCACCGGAGTTAACAGGAACACTGCCTGGGTCTTAAGCCCACATCAACAAACTATAGATTCCCCCCCACCCCTCTTAATATCTTGTTTTCCTCTCTGTGCAGTAATGATCTTGAGGTGGAAAACACTGAGGGGTTAAAGGAATCACCAATATCTTTCAATTATTTTATCTGACCATGACTTCAGCTACATTAGAACTCCTGAGATTTGTGTACACACTGATCCTGCAGAGTCACTGTCAGAGAAACTTGTCCGGATGCATTTTTACAAGAGGAACATTCCCTCCAGTTGGCTGCAGTCTCCTCCCCTTCCTATTAAGCCAGTGTTTCTGTAGCAATTATGGTTTCCCTTGACCCCTATGGTCTTACAACCAGTGACCTTAGCCCAGTGAACTGTGGACATCAGAGCACATGGCTGTTTGTAGACATGGGAAAATACCCTCTTGACAGTGCTGACATCCCCTGTGGTATCTCCTTTGAGTAAGGGAAAAAACTCGTGTTGCTTTCAGAAGCACTAAGAGTCTCACACCTGCCCCCTCCTGGGAGTCATCATTGAGGTTCCTAAAACACATGTCATCCAGACTTCAAACGAAGACCAGAAAGCCCCAGTTTTTCCTAGGAGGCTGTGAGGCAGCAATGCAAATTGAGTCCAAACTGGCAGGCTAGTGGGATGCCTGGCTGGCTCATTCAGTAGAGCTTGTGATTCTTGATCGTGGGGTTTTGAGTTTGAGCCCCAAGTCAAACATACAGTTTACTTAAAAAACAAAACAAAACAGGGGCGCCAGGGTGGCTCAGTCATTAAGCGTCTGCCTTCGGCTCAGGTCATGATCTCAGGTTCCTGGGATCAAGCCCTGCATCCCGCTCCCTGCTCAGTGGAGAGTCTGCTTCTCCCTCTCCCTCTGCCTGCTGCTCTGCCTCCTTGTGCTCTCTAGCTCTCTGTCAAAAAAATAAATAAAATCTTTAAAACAAAACAAAACAAACAAAACAAAACTGCCAAGCTATTTCCTACCATCATCCTCTCCCTCCTCAGGCACAGATAATTTGAGACTCTTAAAAAGTTGACCCTTTGATGCTTGTTGAGCCCAAATCATTTTATAAACTACCCCTCACAGTAAACAGAACATTCAAGATTAAAGAGGACTTAAAACACTAAGGCCTTGATTATCATCTTAGCCAAATCAACGTGGAGCAGGTAAGTTCTCCAGTTTGTGACTTGGAACCTAGAAAAACTAATCAGAAGTATCACATGAGACCAACATGTTCCTGAAAAAGGTAGTCATTCTCTATAAGCTGTCAGCCAAATTCATGTTGTTCTCTGGATTATCACTGATTCAGGTCCACGCCCTGAAGGTATTCAAGGAAGAGGGAAAGCTGCCCCTAAGACCTCAGGTTACTGCTAATCTGCTCCAATTCATGGGAACTGAGGTCAGCTTCTCTGAGTACACTGGGGGTGAGGACTGACGTGCACTGTGTGGACCTACCAGTTGGCAGAAGTGAAAGGGTCACAGAACTGTCAGTTACATAAATCTAGAGAGATCTCTGGACAATTTAGAAAATGCAACATACCCACACATACTTCCAACATTATAAGGAATCTCCCCACTGTAAAAGATTCAAATCAGGCAAATCGCTCCTCAAAGAGTTTCCACCACAGGCGCCTGAGTGGCTCAGTTGTTAAGCGTCTGCCTTCGGCTCAGGTCATGATCCCAGGGTCCTGGGATCAAGCCCTGCATCAGGCTCCCTGCTCTGCGGGAAGCCTGCTTCTCCCTCTCCCACTCCCCCCTGCTTATGTTCCCTCTCTTGCTGTGTCTGTCAAATAAATATGTAAAATCTTAAAAACAAACATAAAAAGTTTCCACCAGTGGCATTACACTGAATAGGGAAATTGCATATTCATTATACAACCACGCTTTTCTCTAGTGTGAACTCTCCAGTGTTGAGAGAGGTTAGATTTTCCCCTAAAAGATTTCCCACATTCACTGCACTCATAAGGTCGTTCTCCAGTGTGAACCCTGTGATGATAAGAGAGAGCAGTACGAGTGATAAAAGATTTCCCACATTCACTGCATTCATGAGGCCTTTCTCCAGTATGAACTCTGTGATGATAATGGAGGGCAGTACTACTTATAAAAGATTTCCCACACTCACTGCACTCATAAGGCCTTTCTCCTGTGTGAATTCTCTGATGATAATGGAAGCTGGAACTAAAAGTAAAAGATTTCCCACATTGGTTGCATTTGTAAGGGCTTCCTCCATTATGAATTCTCTGGTGTATTGAGAGGGAATGTTTTTGTCTGAAGGATTTCCCACATTCACTGCACTCATAAGGCCTCTCTCCTGTGTGACCTCTGTGGTGATACCTGAGCGCAGAGCTAGAAGTAAAAGATTTTCCACATTCACTGCATTCATAAGGCCTTTCTCCTCTGTGGGACCTCTGATGATAACTGAGGGCTGAGCGAGAGGTAAAAGATTTCCCACATTCACTGCACTCAAAAGGTTTTTCTCCAGAATGAACTCTATGATGATACTGGAGTTCATACCTACAAATAAAAGATTTCCCACATTCATTACACTCATAAAACCTTTCACTTGAATGAACCTTTAGGTGCATATTGAGGCTATTTCTTCGGGTAAAGGACTTGCCACATTCACTGCACTCATGAGGCCTTTCTCCAGTGTGAACTCTGCGATGATACTGAAGAGCACTATGAGTGCTAAAAGATTTCCCACATTCATGACACTCATGAGGCCTTTCTCCAGTGTGAATCCTGTGATGATAATGGAGGGCAGTACTACTTATAAAAGATTTCCCACACTCACTGCATTCATAAGGCCTTTCTCCTGTGTGAATTCTCTCATGATAATGGAAACTGGAACTACAAGAAAAAGATTTCCCACATTTGTTGCATTTGTAAGGGTTTCCTCTACTATGAATTCTCTGGTGTATTGAGAGGGAATGTTTTTGTCTGAAGGAT